CCGGACTGTCGATCGGCATCAAAATCTCGGCTTCGAAAATGGGGCCGATTTTTTGAAAATTTAATGATGTAACCATCATGATTTTTTGCGAAAATCGTGAAAAAGTGGATGTCCTTTTTTAATATGGCAGTCGACTCACAGGAGCCTCCTGATCATGAAAAGACATGCCATTCCCCGATCGGCTGCCGTATTGCTGAGATATAACGTACAGAAAAAACCAGTATTACATACAAATAATAAAATGCGAATCCGAATCTTCGGAAGCCTATATCTCAGACAAATAGGGCCAGATTGAAAAAGGATCAACTGTCCCAGGATGGCGAAGAACCGTACTGTCGATCGGCATCAAAATCTCGGCTTCGCAACTGAGGCCGATTTTTTGAAAATTTAATGATGGTTACATCATGATTTTCTGCGAAAATCGTGAAAAAGTGGATGTCCTTTTTTAATATGGCAGTCGACTCACAGGAGCCTCCTGATCATGGAAAGACATGCCATGCCCCGATCGGCTGCCGTACTGCTGAGATATAGCGTACAGAAATAAACCAGTATTACATACAAATAATGAAATGCGAATCCGATTCTTCGGAAGCCTATATCTCAGACAAATAGGGCCAGATCGGTAAGGGACCAACTGTCCGAGGATCGCGAGGATCCGGACTGTCGATCGGCATCAAAATCTCGGCTTCGAAAATGGGGCCGATTTTTTGAAAATTTAATGATGTAACCATCATGATTTTTTGCGAAAATCGTGAAAAAGTGGATGTCCTTTTTTAATATGGCAGTCGACTCACAGGAGCCTCCTGATCATGAAAAGACATGCCATTCCCCGATCGGCTGCCGTATTGCTGAGATATAACGTACAGAAAAAACCAGTATTACATACAAATAATAAAATGCGAATCCGAATCTTCGGAAGCCTATATCTCAGACAAATAGGGCCAGATCGGTAAAGGACCAACTGTCCCAGGATGGCGAAGATCCGTACTGTCGATCGGCATCAAAATCTCTGCTTCGAAAGTGAGGCCGATTTTTTGAAAATTTAATGATGGTTACATCATGATTTTCTGCGAAAATCGTGAAAAAGTGGATGTCCTTTTTTAATATGGCAGTCGACTCACAGGAGCCTCCTGATCATGAAAAGACATGCCATTCCCCGATCGGCTGCCGTATTGCTGAGATATAGCGTACAGAAATAAACCAGTATTACATACAAATAATAAAATGCGAATCCGAATCTTCGGAAGCCTATATCTCAGACAAATAGGGCCAGATCGGTAAAGGACCAACTGTCCCAGGATCTCGAGGATCCGGACTGTCGATCGGCATCAAAATCTCTGCTTCGAAAGTGAGGCCGATTTTTTGAAAATTTAATGATGGTTACATCATGATTTTCTGCGAAAATCGTGAAAAAGTGGATGTCCTTTTTTAATATGGCAGTCGACTCACAGGAGCCTCCTGATCATGAAAAGACATGCCATTCCCCGATCGGCTGCCGTATTGCTGAGATATAACGTACAGAAAAAACCAGTATTACATACAAATAATAAAATGCGAATCCGAATCTTCGGAAGCCTATATCTCAGACAAATAGGGCCAGATCGGTAAAGGACCAACTGTCCCAGGATCTCGAGGATCCGGACTGTCGATCGGCATCAAAATCTCGGCTTCGGAAATGAGGCTGATTTTTTGAAAATTTAATGATTTAACCATCATGATTTTCTGCGAAAATCGTGAAAAAGTGGAAGTCCTTTTTTAATATGGCAGTCGACTCACAGGAGCCTCGTGATCATGAAAAGACATGCCATGCCCCGATCGGCTGCCGTATTGCTGAGATATAGCGTACAGAAAAAACCAGTATTACATACAAATAATAAAATGCGAATCCGAATCTTCGGAAGCCTATATCTCAGACAAATAGGGCCAGATCTGTAAAGGACCAACTGTCCCAGGATGGCGAAGATCCGTACTGTCGATCGGCATCAAAATCTCGGCTTCGAAAGTGAGGCCGATTTTTTGACAATTTAATGATGGTTACATCATGATTTTCTGCGAAAATCGTGAAAAAGTGGATGTCCTTTTTTAATATGGCAGTCGACTCACAGGAGCCTCCTGATCATGAAAAGACATACCATTCCCCGATCGGCTGCCGTATTGCTGAGATATAGCGTACAGAAATAAACCAGTATTACATACAAATAATGAAATGCGAATCCGATTCTTCGGAAGCCTATATCTCAGACAAATAGGGCCAGATCGGTAAGGGACCAACTGTCCGAGGATCGCGAGGATCCGGACTGTCGATCGGCATCAAAATCTCGGCTTCGAAAATGGGGCCGATTTTTTGAAAATTTAATGATGTAACCATCATGATTTTTTGCGAAAATCGTGAAAAAGTGGATGTCCTTTTTTAATATGGCAGTCGACTCACAGGAGCCTCCTGATCATGAAAAGACATGCCATTCCCCGATCGGCTGCCGTATTGCTGAGATATAACGTACAGAAAAAACCAGTATTACATAAAAATAATAAAATGCGAATCCGAATCTTCGGAAGCCTATATCTCAGACAAATAGGGCCAGATCGGTAAAGGACCAACTGTCCCAGGATGGCGAAGATCCGTACTGTCGATCGGCATCAAAATCTCTGCTTCGAAAGTGAGGCCGATTTTTTGAAAATTTAATGATGGTTACATCATGATTTTCTGCGAAAATCGTGAAAAAGTGGATGTCCTTTTTTAATATGGCAGTCGACTCACAGGAGCCTCCTGATCATGAAAAGACATGCCATTCCCCGATCGGCTGCCGTATTGCTGAGATATAACGTACAGAAAAAACCAGTATTACATACAAATAATAAAATGCGAATCCGAATCTTCGGAAGCCTATATCTCAGACAAATAGGGCCAGATCGGTAAAGGACCAACTGTCCCAGGATCTCGAGGATCCGGACTGTCGATCGGCATCAAAATCTCGGCTTCGGAAATGAGGCTGATTTTTTGAAAATTTAATGATTTAACCATCATGATTTTCTGCGAAAATCGTGAAAAAGTGGAAGTCCTTTTTTAATATGGCAGTCGACTCACAGGAGCCTCGTGATCATGAAAAGACATGCCATGCCCCGATCGGCTGCCGTATTGCTGAGATATAGCGTACAGAAAAAACCAGTATTACATACAAATAATAAAATGCGAATCCGAATCTTCGGAAGCCTATATCTCAGACAAATAGGGCCAGATCTGTAAAGGACCAACTGTCCCAGGATGGCGAAGATCCGTACTGTCGATCGGCATCAAAATCTCGGCTTCGAAAGTGAGGCCGATTTTTTGACAATTTAATGATGGTTACATCATGATTTTCTGCGAAAATCGTGAAAAAGTGGATGTCCTTTTTTAATATGGCAGTCGACTCACAGGAGCCTCCTGATCATGAAAAGACATACCATTCCCCGATCGGCTGCCGTATTGCTGAGATATAGCGTACAGAAATAAACCAGTATTACATACAAATAATAAAATGCGAATCCGAATCTTCGGAAGCCTATATCTCAGACAAATAGGGCCAGATCGGTAAAGGACCAACTGTCCCAGGATCTCGAGGATCCGGACTGTCGATCGGCATCAAAATCTCGGCTTCGGAAATGAGGCTGATTTTTTGAAAATTTAATGATTTAACCATCATGATTTTCTGCGAAAATCGTGAAAAAGTGGAAGTCCTTTTTTAATATGGCAGTCGACTCACAGGAGCCTCGTGATCATGAAAAGACATGCCATGCCCCGATCGGCTGCCGTATTGCTGAGATATAGCGTACAGAAAAAACCAGTATTACATACAAATAATAAAATGCGAATCCGAATCTTCGGAAGCCTATATCTCAGACAAATAGGGCCAGATCTGTAAAGGACCAACTGTCCCAGGATGGCGAAGATCCGTACTGTCGATCGGCATCAAAATCTCGGCTTCGAAAGTGAGGCCGATTTTTTGACAATTTAATGATTTAACCATCATGATTTTCTGCGAAAATCGTGAAAAAGTGGAAGTCCTTTTTTAATATGGCAGTCGACTCACAGGAGCCTCGTGATCATGAAAAGACATGCCATGCCCCGATCGGCTGCCGTATTGCTGAGATATAGCGTACAGAAAAAACCAGTATTACATACAAATAATAAAATGCGAATCCGAATCTTCGGAAGCCTATATCTCAGACAAATAGGGCCAGATCTGTAAAGGACCAACTGTCCCAGGATGGCGAAGATCCGTACTGTCGATCGGCATCAAAATCTCGGCTTCGAAAGTGAGGCCGATTTTTTGACAATTTAATGATGGTTACATCATGATTTTCTGCGAAAATCGTGAAAAAGTGGATGTCCTTTTTTAATATGGCAGTCGACTCACAGGAGCCTCCTGATCATGAAAAGACATGCCATTCCCCGATCGGCTGCCGTATTGCTGAGATATAGCGTACAGAAAAAACCAGTATTACATACAAATAATAAAATGCGAATCCGAATCTTCGGAAGCTTATATCTCAGACAAATAGGGCCAGATCGGTAAAGGACCAACTGTCCCAGGATGGCGAAGAACCGTACTGTCGATCGGCATCAAAATCTCGGCTTCGCAACTGAGGCCGATTTTTTGACAATTTAATGATGGTTACATCATGATTTTCTGCGAAAATCGTGAAAAAGTGCATGTCCTTTTTTAATCTGGCCGTCGACTCACAGGAGCCTCCTGATCATGAAAAGACATGCCATTCCCCGATCGGCTGCCGTATTGTTGAGATATAGCGTACAGAACAAACTTCTTTGATATATGCCAGATATCAGATATTGATGGTTCCAAGAAAATCACAGCCGGTTGAAACATAGACACTTTGGAAAAATCATTACTTCTAATTAAAAAATCAAGGAAAAGCAAGCTCAGAGATATTGTTCTGTGGAAAAGTCACTCTGAAATATTCAAGTTATTAAAGTAAATGTGAGAGTTACTAAACGGTTCAGGTATAAGAGAAATTGTAAGTGATAATATCTGAGGAAGATGGTTCTGGACATAAGCACGCAGGCGATAGAGGCAAATATCAATAAAATATATGCTAAGATTGAAGAATTTGAAGAAGAATTAGAGGGGAATGCCGATTATGAAACCTGCAGTAAAATTCAGGCTGAAATTAATCAAATGAGCGCTTATCTTGGACAGATATTAGGCTTACTAAAGGAAGACCAAAGCCACAAAGAAAACTGAAACTAAGTCATTGGGACCCAAAGAAGGCAATACAGAACCCGAGAAAAATCATTGCCGATCAATGATCGAATGGATCGAATTCAGGCCCACTTCCACGTAATCTTCAACGGACAGCACTAAGAAACTCTTATACTCGTATACTTGTAAGTACATAACTACATATGAAGAAATAAATTATGCCGATTATGAAACCATTAATCACTAACCATTAACCATAGCCATGAACTATCAAAAATGAAACAAATGGACAAAGACAGTGGCACGAAGGCATCCAAAGCCAGATACAAATCTGAGCCGATCGATCAGTGGATTATATTCAGGCTTACTTGCACGTAACCTTCCACGGAAAACACTAACAAGTTCTTAGATTCGTACTACCACACAACATAAAGCAGTTTATTCCTTTAGATACTAGTAATATACGTACAGTATTATGGCGGACAACAGAGAAAATTTTTGAATGGAACGGATGCCTGACTCCGATTACTGCAATAAATAGCTCAACTATATAGATTCCATTACCAATAAAACAATTCACTCCCACAGACATCGTTTGATAGTTATCCAGCTTCCAGATCCCTGTTGTGATATCCCTAAATATCATAGGTTTATCCTATCTCAGTTTCCTGATGCTTCAATGCTTGCACAGAGTTTTCCCAGAGGAATTATTGAATCTGTCTGTTCATTCAAAAAGGTTTCCAGATACCATTCCATTTCGAATGTGTGGTGTCCGTGCCAGTGATTTTTGCTGCCACTGCTTCGAGTTGTCCTTGTTCTGCTTTACACCTCCTACACACTGCACTGCTTGCTTGTCGCTGCTAATTTACTGTTATGACATCAGCTGGCAGGCAGCAGCAGAAGCAGCAGCATGGTTGTGTTTTCGCTGAGGTTAAGTCGAAGGTTAAGGTGGAACTGGAAACTGCTTGGAATTGCTTGTAATTGTTCTTGTTGCCGCCTGATGCTGACGCTGACGTTGTCCGAAGCGCCTGTTTAAATGTTTGTCAAAGGAAAAAGACGTGTCAACTGGCGCCGTTGTTGCTGTTTGGTCCCCCCACTGCCACTGCTCTCCCGCAGTGCTGTCTCTCATCTCCGGTATCCTCTACGCGGCGACAGGTCCCAGACACGGAACCAAAGACAAAGAAAAATGGTCCACGTTTCATTGGGGTTTTGTTCTTGTTGCTGTTGCTTCTGTTCCCTGTTGGTGTACCCTGTTGGTATTTGTGGCATACAAGGGTCTCCTGTATGCATGGGTATGTATGTAACAGATCTTCGACTCCATATGCTTGGAGCCCATAATTTTTTTTTGAGATATCCACACGTATCTCTTGATGTACAGAAAATTCCTAGTGCAAGATTTTTGAGTAGAGCCCATGTGGCACGCTCTTTTCTAAGACCACAAGATCTGATGAGCGGGTGGGTATCCCACAGTCGGAATATCTTCTGCATATTTTCTATACAGGGGGGGGGGGGCTGTGGCTGTTGCAGCTTCTGGTGTTGGGCAAGGCAACGAACAGGATAAAATCCGCTGTTTACATTCTCTAATTTCGCTTGTTCATTGTCCAGCGAAGCGTTTCGCGTGCATCAACCCAACCAGCAGCTCCCCCCAGCCGTCTCTCTTCCCAATTGCCCGACGAATGCTCGAGAAGAAAATGGGGAAAATAGGAAAAAAGTGAACTTTGTTTGGCCAGTTGACCAACAGACCGCTGGAGAAATTAAGCCGAGTATCCATATCCGTTGTCTCAACTGCAGGCCATCCTGCTCCATCGACCATCGGCCATGGGGTTTTCGTTTCTTTCGTTTCGTTTTGGCCTGTGGAAAGCATCTTCTCTTTGCTTTTCATTTGGCTGCCTAGCTGCCTAGCAACCTAGCTGCCTAGCCTGGCAAAAGATTTCAAAGTAATGTTACATCAACTGGAAATCACTTGCACATACGAGTATTCGTACTCAGAGCCTCCTCACAGGAGACCACTCACAGCCCGAACGATATCGTATTCACTTGGTAGGGGCAGGGGCAGGGACAGCAGCACCTGCTGACATCTCCTGGCAAATTCTCGCCTTTGTTCTTCTGCCTCAGTCAGCATTTTGCAGGCAGACGCTCCGGCAAAGTTTTCTACTTGCTTTGTTGCCACACATATATCGATGTACGGGTATCACTTACTCCTACATACATCTATCCCTGAAAAGACTGAGACTGATTCGATACTGATGGACAGGACCGAAGTAGAAATGCACTTGTTCCTTCGAGATGGTCCAATATTTGTTGAGAATTTCCTTGAAACAAATGCAGGTTTTCGTAAGAGAGATGAAAACTGTTGTAATTGTATTTTTTCTATTAAAATACCAATTCGTTTCCCGATGTACTTTGCCTCCTTATTTTTGGAAGTTTTTAAGCAAGTTTAAATTTCTTCCAGCTTATTTGGGCTAAATGCTTTGTGCGTCTTTAGACAGCGTTCAAAATGTATATTAGGGTTAAATATTAATGTAATAATCATTCCAAAGGATCAACTTGCACTTGCTGCACGATGCCTGTGCCCCCGTCGGCGTCTCCCTGCCGTTTATGGGCTCAAGAAGTTGGTAAAGCAAAAAGTTGGCTACTGAAATACCGTTGACAAGCGTGCTCGTATGTGTTGCTGCTTTCGCTGCAGTTTGCCAGTTTGCTGGAAGTAATAAAAGTGTAGAGCAGAACACTGACTGCATTGTCGCTGTAGTTGCCTCTAATTCGCACAAATGGAAAAAATGTAAGCGAATTTCTTATGTTCATTAGCTCGCTGCCCCCGTCGCCGCCTGGCGACACACTTGTGTGTCTTTGCGTCAGTTGGACATGTTGCAAGCTTTTGTGTGGCACCATCCCCATATCTAGCACTGGGACGGGGACTAGCACCATCGGCACTGATGGCAGCACCACGGACTCTCTGCAACATGATGCTATTTTTATTAGCCTGACACACAGCATGGCGCTCGCCTGTTGCAGCCACAACGAAAGGTCAAATTTGTTAGTCAAGTTCAAGGCGTGAGAAGTGAAACCAAAAAGCCCCCAAAGTGGGAGACTAAATTCATACAAAAATGCGGCTGACTTTTAGGGTGACGATATCGACGATATTGATAAAGATACCATTCCGTCAATCGGTGCGATTCAGCACGTTTTGGGGAGAAGGAGCTGCAGCTTTTATTGTTGTATTTCTACAGAAAGAGCGACAAAAGGGTCCAGGCTTTATCTTAAGTGCAGAGAAAGAAGTGCAACTACCATCCAATGGCACTTCCCAGAAGAACTGCAGCGACGAAAAATCTTGGGGGATTGACTCTACTTGAGAAGGCAATTCGAATCATCAAAATATGTACGCGTTTCCACGGGATTATATAGGGCAATGTCTGTTTAAAAGAATCAAAGAAAAGCCACATATTAATTTTAATTGGAAAAGTTATTCTCAAAATTATTTTAAAATAATCTGAAATTTATCTATTAACCTTAAAGGCCACGCAGTTGATATAAAAGTTCAACAAGCTTATGGCAAAATGCCAATACCAGAATCGATGCTAGAATCCATAGAACATATGAAAATCTCCATGTAGAGGGGCCTCAAGTTCTGGATCAATTTCAACAGGTACAAATCCTTGAAGTGCAGTCTCAGAACGAAATTATCATTTCAGTTCAATATGCGTAGAGCAATATACAGGCGACTGAAATGGATAATCCAATCATAGCTCATAATTCATAATTATAATAAATAATAACAAAACTCTTACGCGTTCTTTCAGTTTATGGATTATCAAAGAGATGGGTTATTAGGTTATGATGGATATTTAAACTTGAAATATATGCTACTATTAAGAGACTACTGGGGAAATGTGGAGCTGCCATAATTAGATCAGCAATCAATGAAAATTATTTACAGTTTGGCGGAGTGCACGAGGACTTCAGATTTCTCAAGGAAAAGTACTCGATATATTTGAGTAATAAAGATCTTTTGGCTTATCCCGATTGATTCAAATGCAGACCCTGCATCACATCAAATTTGTAAGTGGAGCTCCACCTGTTTACCCCCCATTTGCCCACTTTCTTTTCGGCATTCAATGGCCTATCAGCATATTGTGGGACGTGTGCCGTTCCCCAAACCCCAAGCCCCAAAAACAGTTCATATTACAAAACCAATTTGGGGGCTATCGTTTTTTGTGTTTTTTTTTTCGTTTCGTTTCGTTTCGTTGGTCTTTAAACTGTCAAAACCCCAAAGGTGCCAGCGCCTGCCCCTGCCTCTGAGCGGTGGTGTGAAGAGCAGGAGGCGCTGGCGGTGGCAGTGGAGGTGGAGGTGGAAGTGGAGGAGGCTGGGCGGCAAACAGGTCGCAGCTGCATGAGGCAGCGGCAGAAGGCTCTGGGGGCCTCTTGAGTGGACTCAAGTCGAGTGCTGATCATGCTCTCAGCTCACGCAAAATAGTCGTGCACGATTCGCTTCGTGATTTTGTGTAACGAAGCGCCCAAAAAATCTTTCTATATATACTATATATATATATCTAGTTGGATAGTTAAAGATTTTGGTGGGTAGGTTAGGGGAGGGTGGGGGGCTGTGCAACGAGGATCTCATGACCAAAATGAAAACAACAAAATAACAAAGCAAAATACGCTGGAAATTCATCTTGTTGCTCTGCCCAGTGCCGGTGCCGGTGCCGAAGCCATAGACGGTACCAGAGCCGATGCCCTGGACTCGACTCGAACTGGACTGGACCGGACCGGACCGGACCAGAATCCCTAGATCCTCCGCCCTCCAATCACCCATAAAGCTCTCTGCCCTCGATCTGTTCTGCGGTTCTGGGGCGACACTTGTGCATCATTTTGGTGACTTTTGCTCTTCCCATCCCGCAGGGTCAATGGAATTGGGGGATCAGCTGAGGCCGCCCCTTCGAATGATGTTATTATTAAGTTGTATGTCAAATTCCTTTCTCTTTTCTACTAAAGGACAATGTCCTCAGAGAAAGCGTCTGATAAATATTTCTACTATTCTGAGTTGCCTATCCTTTTATCAATATTCCGCCCCGAACCGGTATCGATGGTGTTCTATGACTAAAGGGAATTCCCTTCCATACAATTGGAAATTCTCTTCATGTGAGCCTTTTGGGCAGCTTCCCATCGCAGAGTGTTGCCCCATCCCATCCCATCCCTGCTGCTGCTCCAAGTGTATTCCCAGTTCGTGATGTTCGATTGATCGAGGCTCGCCTTCGCCTTGGCCATCTCGAAGAGCAGAGCAGAGCAGAGCAGAGCAGAGTGTTTTGTCTTACCTTGAAAATCGCTGACTGCTCAGAGAGCAACTGCTACGGTGGTCGATGATGTTGGGGCTGGCTCCGTTCGCTGGGTCGTCGCTGCTTCGTGTTTCATCGCTTGGAGACTCATCTAGAGACCATCTATGTCTATGTTGTCTCCGACTTGGACTTGGACGCAGACGGAGATGGAGATGGAGACTGAGCCTGCGACTGAGCTGGGGCTTATTCCAAATGCCTGCCAGTTATTTGCTCCCATTGTT